TTTTTTATGACCTGTTCAATTTCTTCTTTTGTTATGGATCTGTTCAACTTTTCCACCTCAGTCTGTGTCAGTTTAGATAAGTAGTGTGTTTCTAGAAATCAGTCCATTTCTTCTAGATTTTCAAATTTGTTGAAGTACAGTTCTTCATAGTATCCTGATATTATCCTTTTTATTTCAGTTGGTTCTTTGTGATGTTGCCCATTTTGTTTCTTATTTGTGTTATTTGTATTTTCTCCCTCTTTTCCTTTGTTAAATTTGCCAGTGTTCTTTCAATTTTATTAGTCTTTTCAAAAAACCAACTTCTAGTCTTGTTGATTTTTTCTACTGTCTTTCTATTTTCTGTTTCATTGATTTCTGCTCATATCTTTATTATTTCCTTTCTTCTGGTGACTGTAGGCTTTTCTTGCTGTTCTTTTTCTAATTGTCGGAGATATTAAAGTGTTGATTTTGGCTCTTTCTTCTTTTTTGATGTGTGCATTTATTGCTATAAATTGGTCTCAGATCACTGCTTTTGCTGTGTCCCAAAGATTTTAGTATATTGTGTTTTCATTCTCGTTTGATTCAAGGAATTTTTGAATTTCATTTTTTTAATTTCTTCTATTATTCAGTCGCTCTTAAGGAGGGCATTTTTCAGTTTCCATGTGTTTGCTCTTTTTCTGTTGCTCTTCCTATTGTTGATTTCTAATTTTGTAGCATTGTGATCTGAGAAGATGTTTTGCAGTATTTCTATGTTTTTAAATTTATTAAGGCTTGTTTTATGGACTAACATATGGTTTATCATGGAGAATGTTCTATGTGCACTGGAAAAGAATGTATATTGTGCTGTTGTTGGGTGAAGTGTTCTGTAGATGTCTGTCTATAAGGTCAAGCTGGTGGATTGAATTGTTTAGTTCTTCTGCGTCTTTGTTGAGTTTCTTTCCAGTTGTTCCTTCATTGAGAGTGGTGTATTAAAATTTCCTACTATGACTGTGGAGTCATCTATTTGTCTTTTCAATTTTGTTAAAGTCTGATCTATGTATTTTGGGGCTCTTTCATTGGGTCCATAGATGATATATATTATGGTTATATCTTCTTGTTTGATTGATCCTTTAATCACTATATAATGTCCTTCCTTGTCTCATATGGTGGTTTTTGTCTTAAAGTCAATTTGATTAGAAATTAATATAGCCACTTCTGCTCTTTCTTGGTTGCCATTTGCTTGATATATCTTTTTTCAACCTTTGAGTTTCAGTCTATTTTTGTCTTTCTTTCGAAGGTGTGTCTCTTGTAGACAGCATATTAATAGGTTATGTTTTCTTACCCAGTCTGTAACTCTTTGTCTCTTCAGTGGTGCATTTAATCCATTGCCATTCAGTGTAATTATTGACAAGTATGAATTGTGATGTGTTTTTTCGTGGTGTTCCTGGTTTTTTTGTTTCATATAATTTTCTGTGCTGAGCTCATTTTGTTTATGAATCATGTTATCATTTTCTTTGTTGGTATTGTTTTAGTATTTGCTAAATATTTGTGGTTGCCTTTTTTTTCTTGTGATGTGAAGGTTTATCATTTTTCTTTGTGGTTATCCTGCGATTTATAATTTTTTCCTTGAGTTTAGAACAGTCTATTCTATCTTGCAATTCTCTTGACTTCCTCATCATTTAGAAGTTCTGTACCTACACTGTTTTTTCCCTTTTTGGTTTGTTGTTGTCCTCATTTGCCATTTGAATCTGGTTCCCTGTTTACAATCTTGTAAGCTTATTTTACTTTGGGTACTTCCATAACTGTGTTTGTTTCTGGGTTATGTTATCATGTATATTAATGGTTGTTTGTT